TGCAGTAATTGCTTTAGCATTAGATATTGTAAATGGATGGTCCAGTATCAAAATTTTTTCATTCGGTATTGTCATCTTTTGGAAAGGATGTACTACCAAAGTATTTTGGATTAGAAAATGCAGATAGAAAAGATTCAAATAAAAAATAAAAACTTTTTAATTAGCTAAAAAGATAAACCTGGATAATAAACTTATATTAATCTGTGATAAAATGTTAATTCGGCACAAAAAAAGTTCTACAGAAGCTTCTTTGTGAAGGTGATACTTTCTTCTCAAATACAGGCTTCCCAGACATGGAAAAAAATTATAAAAAATAGGATACATTGTTTTTACAAGATTCACTACAAAATTAAGATGGGTATTGGAAGTAGTACATGGTATTATGAAGATTCAAATAGACTGTTGGATCACAAACTTGTTTATAAAATGTTAACTAACCTTGAATCATTGTCAAATTGTATGTTACTTGAACAATAAATTTTGTAAGCGCTTAACATCTGATAAAGATATGCAAGAATAAATTTTAAATGCCATGGAGTGATGGAAAGAAATGGAAAATACATCAGTAGAAAAAGTAGTAGACAAAAGATGAGCACGTCGAAAATTAACATTGCAATCTCTTCCTTGGTCAGATATTGCAGATTTTCGTGAATTAACTGAATAAGATACTTTTCGCAAGATTATACCGACTAAAACAAATTGTATCTTACCTGGCAGAAATGTTAGATTCTGAAAATAGTGTTAAATTTAGATACTGAAAGAAGAAAAAAGGTATTTTGAAAATTCTAGTACAATTAAGACATATAAGTAAGAAGAACTACAAATGTTTTATCGAGTACGAACATAATAGTATTGGATACTCAAGCATTCATAGATATTGTTGTGCTTGTGCTTATGGCAGTCGTACTGTTGGGTGCTATGCACATATTGCTGCAGTCGTATACTATCTTTCTCATAGAAAGTTCTTGTCAAAAATTAGAAAAGCAGCAGAGATCCTCTCTGAAATGTTTTTTTTCTGATGAAATAGAAACTTACATTGACGAAGACCGTGATAATGACGAATAAATAATACAATGTTTGTTAATTCTTTTACTTTTGAAAAGTAAATGCGGTATGACCAATTTTAATTATTATTATGCCTTATTATGTAAGTTGCGTACTTAAAAATAAATTGAAAATATGGTTCCAGTTTTTAAGTAAAAATCTTAATAAAAGTAAATTCAGAGAATGTTTCTTTTCAGTTTTTCGTGCAACTATAAAGGTCTCAATCATGGGGCTGAAATCTTTTTACGCACTTACATATGGTAGTATGTACTAATATGTAATACTGCCTTTGGCATTTCACATGATCCGTTACCAGAAACATCATAAAACTAAGAGAAGTATCGTAAATTAAATCATAAACTACCTGAAAGCCAACAGTTTTCACTTAAATCAGCGCAACAATACTTAAAATAGACCACAGATTACGTTAATAAATAGGTTTTTAGCCTTTTTTTTAGGTATGCCACTAAAAATATCATAAAAAATTAGTAATTTTGCAGAGAGCACTTTATCAAATACAAAATAAGCTTCTTTAATTTATAAGATTGTGATACTACTATAAAAAGTCAATATGGATTAAAAATGATGGGTTTGTTAAGTTTTTTAGCATGTACCACCCTGAAAATTAAATAATTTACATCAGAAGCGGAAGTGGTATAAAAAAAATTAAAAAAAAAAAAGCCACTTAAACATGTTAAAAATTGATGTAACCAATCCGAAACCGTACGTAACCTCGAAAAAGTGGATTTAAAACTTTTTTCAGTTCTTTCCACCTAAAATAGTGCAAAAAAAAACAACGAAATCGTAAAGAACATCAAAAAACACATATTACCAAGCTACTTAAAATCGTATTCAATGTACATCAGATATGAAAAACTGCAAATAACCTTCAAAAACGAGTTCTTAGTCATTTTTAGTATGTGCCGCAAAAATATCGCAAACAAATTAGCGGGATTCCAGAGACGATTTCAAAAGTATCAAAAAATAATAAATTAAAAGTGTAACCTTTTATATTAAACATGATAAAAAATCGATTGTAAATTTAAAATATTTTCTTGGACGTCATTTTAGAGGTTATGTTCGTGAACAAATTCTCTGTTTAGCCGTAAGAAGAACCATTTTTTTGAATTTTTCTGATATTTTTGAGTTCAAATGGAAGTGTGAAAAAATAAATTGTAAAAAATACAATTTTTGACATTATTCTGCATGTGCATCTAATAATAATAGAAAGCTGAAAGTTTGGCTTCAAGAGTTTTTTTTATCCCTTGTCGAAGGGTTCTTAAGACAAAGCCATATTCAAACAGGGTAGATCTACGATAGTAACTAGTCTGTAGCTCTTAAAACTTGAAGTGAAAGAAATATTTTATAGCAAACAATTATAAACATTGATTATAAACTGCGAAAATATGTTACTTAAGAAACTGAAAATTACATTTCTTATTTAAACTAAGTAAATAAACTATTAGCTATTAAATCTAGCTCAATATTAGTATCAAAACTGGCAAAAATTACAAATTTTAGTTATGTGACTAATGCTTGTCGGTAAATTAGAAACATTAGAAATTCGAATGTACGTCTAAAATCGAACAGCACCAGCATCGTGACCCGTCAGCACTCAATCCCAAGGTGAACATCCTCCAAAAACTTAAAGAAAATTAACGAGTAATGTGGCCCCTCCAAAATCACGGTTGCATAGACAAAAAATGTCTTTACTCCTCCAACTAAGGCACAGTTGCAGTAAGGGAGCCATGAAAATACGAAAGAAATAGCTAATCAAAGCTTCTACTCTATGAAAGAACCATACAATGTGAAGTCGCCTGAGCTACCTCCAAACACGACACCGGGGCCAAGATAAAGCTATGGTACATAGGCCCAACACATTGCTGAGAAGTGATTGGCCAGTGCCACATGGAAAATGAAGTGCAAAAGTGACCTGGTAAGCGATGTTTCATCTTAAACTAAATATATGCTTTTTAATGGTCTGAAATCTGTTGTACCTTCAGGCAGTCATATCTCTTAAACTATTTAAAGAATTTCCAGATCGATACCTCCTTCAACGACGTTGTAATCAACTGAAACATAATATATGCCATTTTCAAGGGAATGACCCATTTATACTTATACTAGTGAAGCTCCACCCCCCTGCAAGCTCCACCTACCAACCTCAGCTTCTCTAAACTAGAATAGAAGTTTTTCAAATACATATATGACATAGTAATGGGCATTATATTTGAATTTTGTATTGATACATGCTTTTATAGGTCAATATAAACGTATATTAATAAATCAAATCTTGCTTCTGATTTACCCGTAAACACAATACTCACAATACGAATAAATCAAAATATGCTCATCATACTTATGATATTTTGTAGTGTTTGTGCTCCAACCTAGATATCATAAAGAAAACACCGAGAAATACACCATAGTGTTTACAAATCATAGTTATTTATTTAAGTATGTGTGATTTAGATAATTTTTAAGTTTATCTCTTCATAAATTACAAGTGTCAAAATTTTCAGTTAGAAATTCATACGACCAATAGTATACAAGCGAATGTAGATATATCTAAATCATTGTATCAAGAGATTTACATGCATAGATGGTGGCACTTTTAATACAAGCACTCTATATCCTCCATACATGCCTTTTTTTTCAATATCGAATATACTTAAGACTCATAATACCAAACCACATAGTTTCTTTTTCAAGAAAATTTTCTTAAAGAATGTATTCATATTGCACCTCTTGATACAATGATTTAGATGTACCAACATTCGCTTGTATACTATTGGTCGTATGAATTTCTAATTTACCAACAAGCAGGTGCAATTTGAATATATTCCTTAAGAGAATTTTCTTGAAAAAGAAGCTATGTGGTTGAGTATTAATGGTCTTAAGTATATTGGATATTTAAAAAAGGGCATGTATGGAGGATATAGAGTGCTTGTATTGAAAGTGCCACCATCTATGCATATGCATATACCTCTTAATGTAATGATTTAGATGTATCAACATTCACTTGTATACTGTTGGTTGTATGAATTTCTAATTTACTGGCAAGCATTAGAGTCACATAACTGCTTTATCAAGCTTAGGTGAAAGACAGCTCCGAAAACTAAGAATGAGACACCTATCAAAACTACGGTGCGAGTGAATGTATGGCTCCTCGGTAGCTTAAGTCGTTGATCAACTGTCTACACGGAAGATTGTTGTTACCAGAATAAGCTATACCAAAAGTGATGAGCATAGAAAAATAACGTACAGGTCTTGAGATTTCTGCAACCAGTCTCACATTTCTACATACTTATCTGGATCACGGAAAAACCTGTGACTAGTCGGTTTTATAACTATACTAGTACAAGTTTTTCAATAGCTTTGGTACAGGATTTTCTGTACCATCGATAGTCTATTAAATTTGTATACTGCGCATTGCTTTCTACTGTACCACGCATAGTACGTGCGCTTATATAGTGGAGATATGTTTGTATATATATATGCATACTTGAATACATGTATGGGATTGTCATTGTTACTTTGGCTCAATATGTAAATTGTTCTTTGCGAGTGAAAACCAATTATTATACGCAACAGGAAAGTGACTACAAGTGCCTACTGCACTTATCATTATATCTTGTTAGATTCGCATCAATGTATTGAACTTTATATTGTGTTGTGGTGGATATACTGAAATCCTAACCTCTTGAACTTTTACAGCTACGTATGTATGTGGTGGCTCCGACTTCACAGTCAAGCAAGCGCAAGCAGTCTCTCGTTCCACGCGACATCTTCAGTACTCATCAGATGGCGCCACCGAACGGCTAATCGAGGCTCGGGATATGCCGCTAGTTAAGCTGGCAACTCCTTGACCAGCTAGTCAGTCCGGTTTTGGCTTGCGCGACTAACACACGCACTTCTGTACTTAATCAATAAATAAACCCTTACGTTTAACAAAGCCAAGTGTTGTCGAGCTTCTTGCACCCCGTGCTACCCTCCTATCCTCGGGTAAGCACGAGCATACCCAGCGGTTCCCAAATTGGTGACCCAAACGTCAGTGGCATATCTGATGACAGGGCCAAGAACGACTTGGTTGTGGCCTCCCTCGAGGCAGCAACGGTGAACGAGCTCCTGGATGTGTTGGAACATCTACCAACTGAAAACCTATACGGAGTCCTTAAAGAGGCCATTCTTTCACGCCTGACAGACTCTCAGGACAAGAGGCTGGATCAGCTGTTCAATAAGTTGGGGTTGGGTGACAAGAGGCCGTTGCAGCTTCTTCGCTCCATGCGATCCCTGTCTGACAACAAAGTCACAGAGGAGGTGCTCAAGGTGAAGTGGCTTCATCTGCTCTCCCCACAGGTCACTCGCATTTTGAAGATCATTAAAACCACTTCATTGGAGGAGTTGGGCTCTACGGCAGACGACCTGATCGAAACCAACCCAGGGGTGTTCGCAGTCTCAAGCACTACTCGACCGCCCTCTTCGACCCAGGCCCTCAATGACTCAAGCCTGACTTCAGTGTCCACAGACCACCAGACCACGAGACGCATATCAGGCACCTGAAGGAGCTTCTTGCACCCCGTGCTACCCTCCTATCCTCAGGTAAGCACGAGCATACCCAGCGGTTCCCAAATGTATACATACATATAATATATATATATATATATACTGACATTCTGAATGCTCCCACTGGCCGACTCACTTTTTGTACTGGTACAGGAAAAACCCGTACCACGTATCGGATTTCGACGTACTAAGCATACATGGTTTATCTAAACTCAATAAGGTACTTCAAACTATACTACCGTACCAAATATATCTGTACCAGTACACATTTTGCTTTTACAGAGTATCGAAAATACTTGTACTATCATATAGAACGTGTTTTTCTGGTAACAACAATTTTCCGTGTAGTAAGCAGGAGAGGTTGTGTGTTCGATCCGCACCGAGTGAGGATATTTTTCTTATTCTTATTTATTTCTTAAGAAAATTTTCTTGAAAAAGGATTCATGTGGTTTAGTATTATTGGTCTTAAGTATATTGGATACTTAAGAAAGAGCATATATGGAGGATACAGAGTGCTTGTTTTGAAAGTTCCACCATTTATGCATATGCATACCTCTTGATATAATGATTCAGATGTATCAACATTCGATTTATACTATTGGTCCTATTAATTTCTAATTAACCGGCAAGCATTAGAGTCACATAATTGCTTTATCGAGCTTAAGTGAAAGACAGCTCTGAAAATTAGGAATGAGAAACTTATCAAAACTACGGTGCGAGTGAATGAACGGCTTCTGGGTACTCAAGTCGTAGAGCAACTGTTTAGTAAACAGGAGGTTGTGTGTTTGATGCACATCGGGGGAGGATATTTTTCTTATTCTTAAGAAAATTTTTTTGAAAAAAAAACTATGTGGTTTAGTATTATGAGTCTTAAGTATATTGAATATTGGAAAAAAGGCATGTATGGAGGATATAGAGTGCTTGTATTGAAAGTGCTACCATCTATGCAAATAAATCTCTTGATACAATGATTTAGATGTATCAGCATTTGCTTGTATACTATTGGTCGTATGAATTTCTAACTGAAAATTTTGACACTTGTAATTTATGAAGAGATAAACTTAAAAATTATCTAACTCACACATACTTAAATAAGTAACTATGATTTGTGAATACTATGGTGTATTTTTCGGTGTTTTCTTTATGATATCTGGGTTGGAGCACAAACACTACAAAATATCATAAGTATGATGGGCATATTTTGATTTATTCGTATTGTGAGTATTGTGTTTACGGGTAAATCAGAAGCAAGATTTGATTTATTATTATACGTTTATAATGATCTATAAATTCTTTATCGATTTGGAAATTCTTTAAATAGTTTAAGGGATATGACTGCCTAAAGGTACAACAGAATTCAGACCATTAAAAAGCATATTCAGTTTAAGATGAAACAGGTGGGACTCATGTCTCACCTGTTAATTTACAGTTTTGATGACACATAGAATTGAAATTACCAAGTTTTAAATTTTTTTTGAAGTTTGAAGTCAGCTTTGAAGCGTGACATATATGTTGCGTGGAACATGTATCTGCGTGATGTGTTGGGGTGGGGGGTGGGGGTGCATGTGAGGCATCTCAACGTTAGATTATTCTTGGTGGATTTGGTATGGCTGGGAGCTTACCAGGTCACCTTTGCACTTCCATTTTGCATGTGGCACTGGCCAATCACTTCTCAGCAATGTGTTGGGCCTATGTACCATAGCTTTATCTTGGCCCCGGTGTCGTGTCTGCAGATAGCTTAGGCGACTTCACATTGTATGGTTCGTTCATAGAGTAAAAGCTTTGATTAGCTATTTCTTTCGTATTTTCATGGCTCCCTTACTGCAACTGTGCCTCAGTTGGAGGAGTGAAGACATTTTTTGTCTATGCAACCGTGATTTTGGAGGGGCCACATTACTCGTTAATTTTCTTTAAGTTAACGCCTAATTGAAAATGTCTAATAAGAACTGATAAAATTTTTTTTTGTCATTTTATATTCGGTTTTTGCACTATAAAAACCACATTAAAAACAATAACGTTCAAAAGTTAATTTTTCTCATATCTATTTTTTTACTAGCATGAGATTTAACATAAGTAAATTGTAAATTCTAGTCGAACCATCTGGATGGCAACAACAAAACAGGGGGGTTTAAGTTTTTTACATCGAATCTTAAAAAAAGTAAGAAAAAAACTTTTTATTACAGTTCCACGTAAAACACATCAACCTGGCTGTTTTGGTGTTGCCATCCAGATGGTGGTACTAAATTTGTCAATTTACTTGTGTTCAATCTTATGCTGGTAAAAAAATAGATATGAGAAAAATTAACTTTTGAACGTTATTGTTTTTTATGTGGTTTTTCTAGTGCAAAAATATAATATAAAGAGACAAAAAGAATTTTATTTGTTTTTATTAGATATTTTTAATTGGGCGAAGGATGTTTACTTTGGGATTGAGTGTTGACGAGTTACGATGCTGGTGCTGTTCGATTTTAGACATGCATTTAATTCTATTAGCCACTCAGTTTTTAGGACTACTTTTGCCACGAGTCTTGATGTTTTGATTATGCTTGTTTAGTTTCCATCGGATTATTAAGGTATCTAGCTACCAAGTTTGATCGCGTGTGTACACCGTTGTTTGGTATATCTTTCGTTTGAGTTAGAATGCATCACTCTTCCAGTATTATAAAGTCTGGGTTGGTTGTGGCTAAGCTTTGCATGGGATTATTTTCTTGCCATATTTGCCTTCAAACTCTTGACCTTGGGTAAGCCTTCGTATTTGTTTGACCTTCTCCCTCGGTTTACGGATAAGCTCCGTTGCTCCGCACGTCGTAATCGGCCAATGTTTATCCTTTTCCATGCATCGCTATGATCATACGCATCAGCCGTCTCCTAGGATGATTCACTGGATGATTTTAAGACAACTCTTTATCACTTTTATTTAGAAAAATAAAGTGATTGAGCACCAAGTACGTAGGGACTCATGAGTTATACTTGTAACATTATAAAGCGCTTATGATTATGTGATATGGCTGTGTTAGTACTTTTATAATTTTGCTATTTAATTCTACTGTTTACATAAGCTTGTGGTCGTAGTGCCAATAGAAATAAAATCAAATGCGATGAAATATAATGTTGTCAAATCGTTAGTCCTGTAAATACAATCAAGTTTTGTGAAAATTTTGTAATAATTGTTTAATATTTGTAAAAAATCTTTGTAAATTAACATTTGCCATTCAAGTGTATAATTCTTGGCATAATAGATCTTTTAATAATATAATCTCTCTCTCCCTCTCTCTGTCCGTCTCTCTCTTTCTCTCTCTGTCTGTCTGTCTCACTCTCTCTCTCTCTCTCTTTTTTTGTCTGTCTAAGTCTCTCTCTATCTTTCTCTGTCTCTACCTCTCTCTATGTCTCTCTCACTCGCTCTATGTCTCTCTCTCTCCCTCTGTCTCTCTCTCTCCCCTCTCTCCTACGGTTCCAAAAGATTGCACTGGGCCTTTTGGATATCAAGGCTCCTTTCCGTCTGTGTAATTACCGTACGTAGGACTCCGGCACCTTGGTTCACAGCTCACCTGAGAGACTGTTGCAGGACATGTGATCATCTGTATCGGAGAGCGAGCCGGACTCGCGATGCTAGTCTGTTACGGGATTATAGGGTGTTGTGTAGGGCTGTCAAGGTTGAGATTCGATGCACTCGAGAGGGTTTTCTTCGTCAGGCTCTTTCGGGCACGGCTTCTTCACAGTTTTTATGTCATATCCTGCGTCGTTTCGGTCTCGTTGCCAGCGAGCCCTTGTCATAGACAACCATTTTTCCACCTGATTTATTAAGTAAATTTTACTCCTCAGTCGCTTGTGCTCATGCCGCACGTTCCACCGAGAGTCTCAGCTGAATAGCTAGCGAGGCACCTAGCGCTGGTTTCGCGTTCTGTCTGTTTACCGGGATTGAGGCGCGTCAGGCGATGCTACACTGCCTCTCGAAGGCTAAAAGTCTGAGTAGCGATGGTCTATCGCTACGTTATTTTAAAAAGGTCTTTTCTGTTATAGCACCCTTTCTTGTGCACATATTTAATACCTCATTGGCCACTTGTACTTACCCCGATTTATGGAAGATCTCTAGAATTGTTCCTTTACCAAAAGTTAAAAATCTCTCATGCCCCTCACAGACCCATTCGATAGCCAATTTGTGGGTATCTAATGACATTCCATGGGGTATGGATAGAGGATTGATCACTATTTCTGTATATTTCAATTTTGAGAAGGCATTCAACACCCTAGATCATTGAATGATTTTGTTAGCCCTCAAGTATTCGGGTTTTTCGGGTCACTCAATTCGCTTCCTCCATTCTTTTTTGTCTGGGCGATGCTTATCTGTGGTGAGGGGAGATGGGAGCATAGCTGGGCCTTGCGGTGTCACCTGGGAACTCCCCCAGGGGTCATCAACTGGCCCGGTGTTGTTCCTCGTCTTCATACACTCGACTATATCGTGTCTTAAGCATTGTAAGGGTATGTGGACGACTTGCAGTTATATATTCAGTGCCTGTCTGTTAATGTTGATGCAATTGCGAAATTTAATGAGGACCTTGGTGCTGTTGTTCGTTGGACTGATGACTATAGACTGTCGTTTAACTTTTCCAAGATTTCGACTACGCATTGCTGGCATACTTCGATCTCTCACAGTATCTCCAAGTCAAGTTGCATCGTCTTTTTAATAAAGGAAGTGTGAAGCCCAAACCCACAAACATTCAGTTTTTACTGAATGTTAAAGTTAAACAATCACCATCAATTACTTAAAAAAAATGGAAGCAAACCTTGGTTACGTCTCTACCCATGTTTTTGTTTATTATATGTTTTCTTGTTACCATTTTTTGAAGAAACAATTAACACCATTAAGAGAAGCATGTTAAAGAATGACGTGTAACACCCCATATAGTGCAGTGTACGTGGACGTGTATTTGCTATATCTTTGCAAAAAGCAAAAGATATGTGGTATTTCGTTATAATTCAAAAAAGAAATAAGTAAA